CTCTCTCTGGTGTCCTTGAGTCTGAAGTCACAGAATCCCAGAATGGTTTGGGTTGGAAGGGACCTTAAAGATCATCCAGTTCCACCTCATGCCAGGGACACCTTCCACTAGACCAGTTTTGACAAAAGGATACGAACTTTTACTTTAAAATATTTTCATTTTCACTGAAATCCTTCACTTTCACTTTTGTTTTAAGCAGTTACAGAGATGATTAGGAGTTGGATACAAACCCACAACCACAGACATTTGCACTAGACATTTGAACTAGCTGGTCTTTGAAGTCCCTTCCAACCCAACCCTGTGATTTTAGGATTTGATGATTTTAACTTGCTTTTATGACTTTGTAAGACCTGTTCTTGTTTTGATGCCCAAGACTTGGTGCTACCAAAGGCAGCACTGAACAGGCTGCCCAGGGAGGGGCTGGAGTCTCCCTCATGGGGGTATTCCAGACCCCTCTGGACACAGTCCTGTGCCCTGTGCTCTGGGATGACCCTGCTGGAGCAGGGAGGTGGGACCAGTGACCCACTGTGGTCCCTTCCAACCTGGCCCATTCTGCAACTCTGAGTGCAGTTTGGGATAGGAACTCCACCTTTCTCTGGGACATTTTCCTTGTGAACCAAAACTTGGACAGTGACCTGGTTTTTGTGGCATTCAGAGCCTCGGTGGGTCAGGCAGGGCCATGGGATGTAGCAGGGTGGTGATGCCCAGTGCAGGGGGGTCCTACACCTCTGGGGGGGTCCAGAGGGTTTACAGGGTGGGCTTGAGCCCCAAGATCTGAGTGTCCTTTGCTTTTGTCCTGCAGTCCCACCCGCTGTCCCTGTGCAACACCAGTGAGGATGAACACACCGAGTCAGGATTCATCACCATCGTCAAGCTGGAACAGCCAGACCGGGATCCCAACCCCTGCCTGTCCCTGGCTAACAAGGTGAGTCCCAAAATGCCCTGAATGGCACCAACCTGGGAAGTGAAACCTGTGGTGCAGCAAAGAGGAGGGTGAGAGGAGGCAGCAGGGTGGGAAAGAGCTGTTGGAAAGTAGAGAAAAGGACAAGGACAGAGCAGGGTCCTTGGCAGAAGGGGTCCTTTGGGAGAGACGCTGTGCCAACCATCCCCAACACCCCTCCTTCCATCTTTTGGACTGCCTGGCTTTGTAAAAGGTGTGAAATTCCCCCTTATCCCACCATCCCTTGGGCTTTACTTCCCAGCAGCCTCGTGCCCCTCCAGTTTTGCTTGATGGCCCGTGGAGGGATTTGTGTTTCTCTGTGTCCTCTGTCCTGTGGGAAGACACAGACACAGAAAACATCCTCTGTGCCTCTGTCTTCAAAAATAATCCTGTAACACTTCACTGGATGAGGCACAAGAAGAATCAGGGCTGAGCAATGAGGCAAAAGCAGACCAGTGAACTAGTGGTGGGTCATAACTCATGAACAGTTCAGGCCCCTGGGAGATCTCAGAGGTCTTTGGATTGGGTACCTCAGGGAAGCAGCAGTTCCTGTGCCAAAAGCTGAGCTCACTGATCCAATTCTCTGGTAATAAGGAAGTCAGGTAGGAACGAGGGTCATTTTAAGCCTTAAAATCTGTATGTCTCTGATAAAGCTGCACCAATAAGGCAAACATTGGCTTTTCTTTTGATTGTCTCTGTACTGAATGTTGGACTATTTTCCACAAGCATTGTACAAACACGAAGACCCCCTTTTTGGCTTTGCCTGGATTGTATTCAGGGGTTGCCACCTGGTTGCCTGCTCCATGCTGGGATTGATGTGGTGGGGATGGGGACAGGATCCTTTTCCATTCTCCCTGCGGCTCAGCTCAAGAGGGAAGGCAACAATCTCTTGCTCCTGCCCAGCAGGGTTTGATTCACAGAGGCTGTGGCAGCAAAACCAAGCAAAGAGATGTGATTCCATGATGGATTTGCCACCCCAGGGCTGTTCCCCCCAGCTGTGTGGGCAGCCAGGCAGCAGTGCCATCCCTCTCTGGGTTGCCCAGCCTGAGTTTGGTTGGCTGCTGCTCTGGAGCTGGTGGCAGCAGTTGGCACAAGAGTTATGGACATGCTGTCAGTCTCTACACACCTGGAGAATGTCCTGATCCCACCTGTGGGTGTAGTGATGCAGGAGGATGGTGGGATAAAGAGGGAGCCCAAGGACTTCCAGTGCAGCTTGTGACTCAAGAGGGAGGGCTGTGCAGGTGCCCCAGGGAGCACAGCTGGGGGCTCCAGCTCTCCTGTGTCCATCCAGACGTGACCATCATGTTAAAGTGGTCCCAGGCTGCCACATGGATGCCCCAGGATGCAGGGAATGGGGGAGGAATGGCTGTTTGGTCAGTGCAGCTGCTGGGGGAGGTTGTGAACGGGAGGGAGGAGCAGCTGCAAAGACTCAACTTCCACCTCAGAATCTAAAAGGGTTTAAAACCTTAGGGCCAGGATTTGAGCAACCTGGTCTAGTGGAAGGTGTTCCCTGCCCATGGTAGGGCGTTGGAATGAAATGAGCTTTAAGGCCTCTCCCAACCCAAACCATTCTGTGATTCAAACTTTTTTGCTGGTTTTGACCTTCATTTTTGAGACTGATCACAGCACTGGAAGTGCCAGTGTGTTACTGAGTCCTGGGGTCAACTCAGGAAGGCTGGCACAGGGAGGACAAGGCATGGGGCATTGCTGCACTGTGGTCATCCACCTTGATCCCTTCTCCAGGACCACTAACCCTCCAAAGCAAGCAAACCCCTCAGTTCATTGCCATGTTCATAACTTGACAGAGGGACAGTTCCCTGGCCATCAGTCATCATTGCTCCATTACCAGAGCCATCCCAACACTGGAGTTTGAGATCCAGCTGAATGACATTGGATGCCATCCTGCAGGTATTCCTGCTCCAGGATCTCTCCTAGGGAGGCTCACAGCTCTTCTCCCACAAATGAGAGTAGTTTAGCCATGAAATACAGCAGATGGCCATATCCCCTGGCTCTGCCTTGTATCTTGGTTACTCCACTCCCTGCAATTCCTGTCTGGCTGCTTCTCCATCCTCCTGAAGCTTCTGCCAAGCTCCTTCCCTCCAACGTCACTCCGATCAGAGAATCACAGAAAGGCTGAGGTTGGAAGGGACCTTAAAGATCATCTCATTCCAACCCCCCCACCGTGGGCAGGAATGCCAAGATCTTTTCCTCAAAATCCCTGGACCGTTCCCCTGCTCAGGAGCAGGGGTGTAGCTGTGGGATGTGGCCGGTTCTTGCTGGAGCAGGGGCCTCGTTTCCCTGGCATGTGCGTCTTGTGGCAGAGCTTTGCATGTGGAATTGCAGCACTATATCAATGATGATAAAAATAGCCATGTGCAGAGTGTTATCATAACCTCTGCTTCAGCTGTCACCCAGCCAAGCCTGCACACGGCCAGCCTGGCACAAGGAGAGCTCCACCAGCCACCTGAGGCTCTTCTCTGCTTCCTAAATTCAATCCCTGCTTCAGCATCCAAAGCTAAAACCAGCAGGGAGGGCATCTGGGGAGAGGAAGACATGGAAAATACCACCAGGATCAAAGGGATTTATTTTTCTTTCTGATGCATCATTTATAATTTTGTTTGTTTTCTGAGTGGACCGTTGATTGCACGTCTGGTTGACAGAATGCTGTCAGCTCTTGCTGAAAGCTCTGAAATCATCCTGTAAATATATATTTGCACCAAAAGTGTTTTGGTCCTCAAAGAGGAGGTTGGCAGTGCCCTGTGGCTGAAGGGATCCAGCACAGGGACAGCAAACACTCAGGAAATGATTGCAGCAAGCAGGTTGTGAATGGCTGGAACAGAATCACAGAGAATCATGGAATATCCTGAGTTGGAAAGGACCCACAAGGATCATCCACTCCAACTCCTGGCCCTGCACAGACACCTCAACAATCCTACCCTGTCCCTGAGAGTATCAGCCAAACCCTCCCTGAGCTCTGGCAGCCTTGGGGCTGTGCCCACTGCCCTGGGGAGCCTGGGCAGTGCCCAACCAGCCTCTGGGGGAAGAACCTTTTGCTGAGATCCAACCTGACCCTCCGCAGCTGCAGCTGTTCCCTGAGTCCTGTCACTGGTTACCAGAAGTTGTGTCCTTTGCAACAGGAGTCAGAAAGGTGTTGGGAAGAGTCACTTGTCCAGTCTCAGTTGTTCGTTGCCCCGTTGTTGGTGTCTTTAGCAGGATAAAATCTGTGTAGAGCTGTTTGTTCATCAAAGCCTGACTGGCTCCAACAGGTGGAAGTCAATCCCTGAAAGTTCTCCTCAGTGCTGGCAGACAATGAGGATTGTTTGATCCCAGGCAGGACCCCAGTCTCTGATCCCTGCTCTGAGTTGAGCCTTGATCCCACTTTTCCAGCTTCCCCATCTGGTACAGCAAACCCACGAGTGTCAAATCCAGTCAGCAGCTCAGAGCCTTCAACCCCTGTGACCTTCCTGACCATCTTCACCTCCACTCACGTCCCTGTCCTGTCTCCAGACCCAGACACACCCTCTGGGTGCCCCCAGCTTCTCCCCCACAAGGGGTGTGGAGGTGACCAGCACTTGTGAGCGTGATTGTCCTGCTCTGCTCTGCCCTGGGGTGGCCTCACCTGCAAAATTGGGACAGTTTGGGGGGACACAGAAAGTTATGAAGCCATTAGAGAGTGTCCAAAGGAGGGCAAAGAAGATGGGGAAGGGTCTTGATTTGAAGCCATGTGAGGGCACTGAGGGCACTTGAGGAGACTGAGGGGAGACTCACTGCAGGTACAGCTTCCTGGGGAGGGGCAGAGGAGGGGCAGGGACTGAGCTCTGCTCTGGGGGGACCAGGGACAGCAGCCAGGGAAGGGCTGGAGCTGTGCCAGGGCAGGCTCAGGTTGGATCTCAGCCAAAGGTTCTTCCCCCAGAGGCTGGTTGGGCACTGCCCAGGCTCCCCAGGGCAGTGGGCACAGCCCCAAGGCTGCCAGAGCTCAGGGAGGGTTTGGTTGATCCTCTGGGGCACAGGGGGTGACTCTTGGGGCTGGGCCTGTGCAGGGCTGAGGGTTGGACTCCGTGATCCTTGGGGGTCCCTCCCAGCTCAGCACATCCTGTGACTCTGTGACTGTGTGAGGGATGGAGCAGATCCCGCTCAGCTGCCGCTCTCCATGCCGGGAATGCCCCATCCCTGGGCCCAGCCAGCTCCCTGTGTTTGATATTGCAGCTGGGAAGCAGCAGCTCTGACCTCTGGCCCCAGAGCTGGGGTTTGGCCCTGCAGAGGGTGAACTGCTCCCTGTTTGCACAGGCTCGGGACGCAGGATCAAAGGGCTCCGCCTGAGTAAGAGCAGCCCAGCCCTGCGTTCTGTTCACGTTCCATCTCCTCAGGCTGCCTCTGCCTGCCCAGAGGGCTCCCAGGGCCGGCTGGGAGGAGGTGGGTGACCCCACGAGGTCCCCAGGCAGTGAGCTTTACCTCACCAGGGTGGCATGTGAGCTCAGATGGGTGGGTCTTTAAGCTGAGCTGTGGAAATCCATCCCGCTCCTCATCCGAGAGCAGATCTGCAGCCCGGGCACTGCCTGAGCTGCTCCCTGAGGAGTGCAGGGTCAGGGACCAGGGAGAGCAGCGTGTGTGGGAGTCAGGCCCTCACACAGCCCAGGGCCATCCAAAGGAGGGCACTGAAATGCCCCACGGTGAGAGGTGGGACGTGGAGGATTCTACTGTCCTGGGATGGGAAGGTTGTGTAGGTCAGCAGATCCCTCCCCAGCAAATCCAACTCTGAAGCAAAGGAGCACATGGCACAGGCAGCTGGGGAATGTTTAGGTTTGTGCCCTGCTGTGATTGCAAGGCCACCAACTAATTCATCTCCACAACCATAGGGAGAAGGAGCCCCAGAGCTCTGGCAGGAGCAGGCACTGCAGCCCAACACAAGCACAGGAATCAAATGGTTTCCTCAGTCTAAGCAGGTGCTTCTTTCCCTGCAAAGAACCTGGGAGGCAGACATGGATCCAAATGGTGGTTGTTGACACAGGGGACAGTGCAGAGCGTCCGCTGAAGCTTCTGTTGTTTTGGACAGGCGAAGCTGGCGGGGGAGCGTGGAGCCCGTGCGATCCTTTTCGATATTACTGACGATGAAAGTGCTGCTGATCAGGTACAGACCCCATTAATACTCTCAGCTAAACCACAGTGCTCCTGTCCCATCCCAAAATGTGTCCATCAGGACCCACCAGCCACCAGCAGAAAGTCCCAGGTCCCAGCTGGTGTTGGATGTTGGCTCTCACCCCACTCACCCATGAAGAGTTGGTTCCTCTTTCCTTCACTCCAGGGCACATCTGCACTCTCAGAGGACATTATCTGGTCAGTTGAGCTTTTCTGCCCGGAGCTGGATGCCTTCCTCTTGGGAAGGCATGGATTTCCTAATTTCATCTACTCCAGACAGCCCAGTTTACCTCTAGGGAAAGGTGACTTCTCAAGTTTTCAAGCCCAAGTCACAGCCCTCCCTGCAACACTCTTGGTGCAGGTTTAGAGACCTCCAAAGGTCTCTTCCCCCAGCATTGCTGTCATCTCTGGAATGGAATCAGTTCCCTATCCAGATGTTCCAGGGATAATGAAAAGCATCCAGCATTCGACTGAGGACAGACAGGGGAGCTGGTGCCTGAGCTTATCCAAACTCTGGGCTGACTCCTTGCTGGATCCATCCCTCCTGGCTCTTTTATGCACTTACAGATTAATTTCTGATGTCAGAGAAAGGCAGCAGCGAGTGCAGGTCCATGAGGTGACTCCAGGGTTGCTCAGATCCCAGTCTCTGATCCCTCTGAGCCTCTGATCCCACTTTCCCAGCTTCCCCATCTGCAATACCAAAGTCAAGAGTGGCAACTCTCAACAACTCAGACCCTGCAGCCTCCGTGGTCTTCACGACCATCTGCACCTCCACTCACATCCCTGTCCCCAGACCCAGGCACCCACCTCTGGGTGCCCCCAGGACCCTCCAGGGCATGGGAAGTGGTCAGTGGGTCCGATGACCACCCTGGTCCAGTCCAGGTCAGTCTGGAAGGGAGCAGGCTTGGACACTTGCTGAGCCAGCCCGTGCCAGTAGGACCAGGAACAACCAGAATGTCCTCAGGGAGGAGGGGAACTGGATGGGTCTCACAGGAAGAGCAGAGGAAGCATTTCTGTGGGAAGGCAGCACTCGGCAGTGCTGTTGGCAGTTCCCACAGGGGAGAGGAGACACAAAGAACTTTTGCACAGGGGCTTGAAGAGGAGCTCAAGAGACACCAAGCAGTGTCCAGCTGGGCATGAGGAGTCACCAGCAGGGAAAATTGAGTATTTTCCCAATGCTGGAGAGTTGGTACAAGAGGAGGAGCTTCAGTCTAATTCATATTCATCCTAGAGAGACAGTACAGATCTGGGGGAGCAGTCAGTCTCTGAAGTGTGTGCAAGAAGCATCAGGAGGATCAGACATGCCTGGGGGACCAGGATTGTCCTTTTCCAGGCTGTTCTGGACCAGCTCTCACTGTGTTTGTTCCTTTGCAGCTGAGGAAGCCCAGAGGCCTGAGCCAGCCCGTGGTTCTGATCAGGGGCCACGACGCCGAGCAGCTCATGAGCGTCGTGAACAAGAACAGAGAGGCCCATGTGAAGATAGAGGTCAAGGAGCCACCAGCCTGGGTGAGACACACACCATTCCCACTGCCTCCCACATCCTCCCTCCCAAGCCACAGCACAGGGCTTTCCCAGAGCTTTGCTCCCAAGGGACAGAGATCAGAGCCCTTGGCAGGAGCTGTCTGTAGCATTCAGATGACCTGCTGCAAATAAAGGCTCAAAAGCACCTTCAGCTTATTTAGTGTCTTTTGCTCCAACGCCACGAGTGAGGTGAGGAGGTTCTCTGTCTCTTCAGGGGAGACCAAGCCTTGGTTTTCTCATCTTATGCTGCCTTAGACCGTGGCACTGGGGGAGCTGAGATGCTGCAAGACAGAGATTTTCCATTCTTGGTGGGATGTCCAAAAAAAAGGCCAAACCCTTTTTTCCTTTTCCTGTAAAGAGCAAAGAGGTAGAACTTGGCCTTGTGCTCAAAGGCTGATGGGCCAGAAGAGATTGGGAGACCCCTGCCAAGCCTCTTATTCCCAAGTCTGCCACACAAGAGTAATTTCTCTCCTGTTTTATCCAACAGCCAGACTACGACGTGTGGATCCTCCTCACCGTGGTCAGCACTGTGGTCGTCATCGTTTTGATTTTCGTTGTCCGCACAAAGTGCCAACTGAACAGGACTCAGGTAGGGACCCCCTGGAGCAACAGGAATACACGAAAGGCAGGAACAGACTTGTTTGGGAATTGGGGAAATGGGCAGACAGTGGGGGGACAAGGGGGAATGACTTCAAACTGCCGGAGGGCAGGGTTAGATGAGATATTGGGAAGGAATCCTTCCCTGTGAGGGTGGGGAGGCCCTGGCACAGGTTGCCCAGAGAAGCTGTGGCTGCCCCATCCCTGGGAGTGTCCAAGGCCAGGTTGGACGGGGCTTGGAGCAACCTGGGCTAGCGGAAGGTGTCCCTGCCCATGGCAGGGGGTTGGAACAAGATGAGCTTTAAGGTCCCTTCCAACCCAAACCATTTGGTGATTCTGTGGTTCTATGATTTAGTATTTTTAGTAGAAATGAAGAAATTTCTAATCATCTTCCTAGAGTCAGATGTATTTTCCTATATGAGAATATCCCGTGTTTCCTGTAGAGAGACAATCCTTTGGAGCTCAAAAACTCAGCATTGCTGAGCGATTTTGAATGTCCAGAGCCAGCCGTCTCCTGCTGGTGACAAAAGCCTCCCCCGGCTAAGTCAGGTTAGACAGAAAGCCACCTCTGGAAATGAGTAACATCCCCAAATTCCTGATAACCCCATTTTGGAAAGGGAATGCCTGTCCTGAAAGCCTCCCCTGTCTCTCAGGACTCCGTGCAGCAGCAGACCCTGCAGGCCATCGGGCAGTTGGCCACACGCCGGTACCAGCCCCGGTGCCGCCCGGCGTCGCGGTGGGACTCGGCCAGCAGCTGCAGCTCCGCCCCAGTCTGTGCCATCTGCCTGGAGGAGTTCAGCGAGGGCCAGGTAGGATGTGGGCAGGGCTACTGGGCAACCACAGCTCCAAAATTCCCGGGTGGGATTGGTGGTAGGAGCTGAGCGTGGCAAGAGTGGGAGGCCCTGGTGATATTTCCTTCTGCAGCCCTCCTGAGGGCTGGGAAAGGGCCAGCATCCATGGAGTGTGCCTGCCCCTTGGCCAAAAGAGCCCTGTCTCTGCTGGAGTCACTCAGATCTCCTGAGGCACATCTCCAGCTGTGGCTCTTGGGTAAAATGTCCATAAAACATCCATGTTGAAACAACAGGACAAAAGTGGGGTTTGCTGCTCCAGAGCACCCGGCCTGAAACCTCCCTGTTTCCAAGGGCTTTCACCTCTCTGGACATTTACACCCCAGAGCAGAATCTGAGCTACTGCACAGCCTCCTCTGTGCACAGCTGGGCTGCAGATCCCTCACTCTTAGACATCTTTCCATCCTGCAAGGCTCGCTTCCATCAAGAAGGACCCATCCAGGTCCCAGAACATGGTTCTCATTGCTCATACTCCTCCTCTTCTCTCTAGGAACTGCGGATCATCTCGTGCTCCCACGAGTTCCATCGGGAGTGTGTTGACCCTTGGCTGCAGCAACACCACACGTGTCCCCTTTGCATGTTCAATATTCTTGGTAGGGCTCAGACACAGCATTTTCTGGGCAGGCACAGGGTTGGGTGCAGGGGTTGTGACCAGGAGCTCCAGGTACCCTTGGGTGATGCATCAGCAGCTCCACGTGTCCCTGTGCATGGAATGTACGGGATGGTGTGTCCGTGGAGAGGGGTCCCTGTGTGTGAGCCCCCCAGGGTACAGCAGGACACTGAGCTTGGGACCTGCACGAAGAGGAGGGGTTTCCAGTCTTGGGACCTGTGGGCAAGGGAGGGGGGCAGCAGGGAAAGCACTGAGTGTGCAGGACCATCAGAGTTGTTTGGTGGTGGCAATGAGGAATTGTGGGACACGGGCAGGATGTGGCACTGTGGTGGGAGGGCAGTGGAGTTGGTGCCAGGGGTACAGCTGGGCTGTGGGACATGTGCTGGATGCTCCCTTTTCTCTCCACAGCCAGAGACTCAACGGACCAGGCCACGGCCGCCAGCTCCAGGCTGGCCCCTCAGGACATGGAGCCTGGACGGCGACTCCACCTTTTCCGCCAGCACCCAGGACATGCCCTTTACCACCTCCCACACCCGTATCCTCAGAGGAACCTCAGGAGCTTTCCCCCGGAGCCAGCCCATGGCAACCCCTTCTTCCACTCCCCAGAGCTCTCCCAGCTGGATTTTGACACCATCCACTACATGCCCTACAGACCGGCCCCCTCCCTGCTCGCCTGCGGCCACACGTCCCCGCTGGCCCCGGGCCTGCTGGGCCAGCAGCTCCCCGTGCCCTCGGCGTGTGGGCAGGCGCTGGCACCCCACAGGACGTGTTCCCTGCAGGCCCAGCCCCCCTGCCCCGGGCTCAAGGCAGCCCTGGCACAGAAGCAGCACCGCGCGCCCGCCCTGCGCCGGGGGGTGAGCCACGGGCACCAGCACAACAGCAGCGGCTCCGGGGAGAGTTACCTGACGGAGCACAGCGGGTACCTGGCAGACGGGCCGGGCAGCGACTCCAGCTCGGGGCCCTGCCACGGCTCCTCCAGCGACTCCATGTTGAACTGCACGGACATCAGTCTGCAGGGCATCCACGGCAGCTGCTCCACGTTCCGCAGCTCCCTGAGCAGCGACTACGATCCATTCGTGTACTGCAGCTCCGAGGGCCCCGCCACGGACCACGGCCAGGAGCCGCTGCGGCCGCCCAGGGAGAGGCGGCCCAGGTCCTTGGACCTCATGGTGCCCGGGGGGGCTGCTCCAGCCAAGCCCCAGGTGCTCAGCCACGTCCACTACCACCACCACCAGCACCACCACTACCGACGGGACACGGAGTGTCCCCCCGGGCGTGCCGGGCAGGGGCCTGTGCCACGCAAACCCCGCTACTCTGGGGCCAAGGTTGGCTTCCACGGGGCTCGGACACAAAAGAGGACTGAGAAGAGCCATCACTGCCAGCAGCCTCCGGAAAGCAGCGCTGTGCTGCAGGAGGCAGCTCTGGCAGGACAGCCAGCCTGTCCCCAGGAAGGCCGGGAGCCCCCTCATGCCCTCTCCGCTTCTCCAAACAGGTTGGACTTCAGTGTAGATGCCAACAGACAGTTGGGAGCAGCTGGCACATCCCTTGCCCTGCTGCCCCCAAGACACAGCCTGCAGAGCCGGCATCACCGAAGGAAAAGAAAGTGTTCCCTGGAGCCCGACCCCGCTCTGCTGCCCAAGGACTCGGCCTTGCCCAAAGCCTGCGATACTCACCTTCCCCACGGCCATCCCAGTGGCTCCCGCTGCTCTCCCGAGGTCCAGCCCCTGATCCCAAGCGCTCCCCTGCCCGGCGGCTCTGGCTCCCGGCCGCTCTGGAAGTGTTTGGTGCCACAGTCCAGCTCCGAGCTGAGGAAGCAGGAGGAGGGGGTGTCGGGACGGGAGGGAACCCGCCCGGTTCCTGCGGATTTCTCAGGGACAGGCACCCACAGACACAGTCTGAGTCTCCACCTGCACTGCCCGTCCCAGCAGGGTGGGCAGGGTAAGTCTGGTGTGCTCCTCTCCTTGCAGGGAGCAGGTGAATGAGGGGGGTTTGCCGAAGGAGCTCTGGATGCCAGGACACCTGGCACCTTCCCCATGGAAGCACTGACAGCAGGAGCGTTTCAGGGCTCAGCTGTCTGGAGATGGTGGCCTGAACAATGAGCAAGTGTGTTAATGAGTGCACCAAACCCTAAAATACTGCATATGAGAAATAAGGTGGCTAATTTTAACTAAACATCTCCAGCAGCTGGAGTATCTCCCAAAGGGAGGGATGGGACCATGTTTCTCAGTGTCCTCGCACCAGTCTGGGTGTCTTACTGCCAGAGTCATTATCTTCAAGGCTTTTTGGGCTCCAGTTGTTCTAGCCAAGCCCAGCTAACTGCAATCAGTGAGGAAGGAAGTGTGTGTGGCGGGTGGTAGTAGAACAGACTCAATGAGTTGATGGATTTGCACATCCCTCGTTTCTCGCCTGCCTCTGTTGCGTGGGAGTTGCTTTTTAGTGTCTTTTGGAAATCAGATGTAATTAAAGTTTGGCCCTTTGCCTAACTGCTGCACATCTCTCACTGAGAGAGGGAAAATGCCTTTGAGTCGAGGCTCTTTGAAAGAACCCGAGTTTAGCTCCCAGGTCTTGCTCTCTCAGGTCCTCTGAACACAGCAACCTGCACGTCAGCCCGGGCAGGTGCCGGCTGGGAGCAGAGCCCGGCTCCCTCCCCTACCACTGACTCACTGCAGCTCCTCGGGCAAATCCTTTTGATTTCGATACCAAACACAGATCTGGCTGCCTAATTTCTCTTAAAACACTGGCCCTAAACTCGTGACTCACCGTGCCCATTGTGCCGCAGAGATAATCACTTCCTCCCCGTGCTCGTCTGTCCAGCCCCGCTCCACGCCCAGGCTCCCGGGGCAGCTCCAGCCGCGGGGGCAGCGGGGCAGGGGGGGCTGGATGGGCACGGGCCTGGCTCCCCGCGGCGCTCCGGCCTCCCAGACTCCCAGGAACAGATTTTGTTCCCAGGCACAGAAGTGCCTGACACCGCAGATGGGTGATCCGGGAGGCCCGCGGGGATGCTGCCGTTTGGAGAGATGAGGAGGCTGCAGTGCAGAGGTGCCTCTGGTTCACGGGGAGCTCTGAGTGCTGATGCCCTCCCGGGATCACAGCGGGGGCTTCCACGTGGAGAGAGCTCTGCTGGCTCAGGGAAAGCTGCTCAGGAGTTGCTTTGAGCTCCTACCTGAACCTGGGAGGCCTCCCCAAGCCCCCAGAGCAGGAGTCTGTGCACCTAAAGAGGGGTGCTGGGTGCTGCTGTGCCCAGGGCATTGCAAGGTCCACGCCTGTGAAGTCTCTTTGGAGGTGGTCCCAGTGGCCTCAGTCTGTGCCCCCTTCCTTATGGCTCTCTGGCCCCCACCCAGAGCCAGTGCCAGCTGCTTTGCCAAGCACACCCAGCCTTCATTCTCTCTTGGAGCTGGAAGGACCAACGTGTTTGAAAGCACTGTGGCTCTATTTGACTGCAGTAGTTTCTGGGGATGCTTTCAGGACCAGCCAGAGATCAGAATCTCCTTGTAAGGCTGAGAAAATACATAGGTTTAGAATTTAGCTTTATCAGGAACAGAGGGCAGAGCAGAAAGCTTGTGCAGGGCTTATGCAGAAAAGCCACCAGGCTGAAAACACCTTGGTTGACATAACACAACCTCTGAGTTATAATCACATTGGTGCTTTATCTTGGGAAAGGTGGAAATCAGTAGAGACCAAGTAAAAAGAGCAAAGAACAATCTCAATAGACAGTCCCATGTAAGCAGGACACAAAACACAGACAAGGAGACCAAAGAAGAAACACATCAGTGTCTCCAGATAAATGGCATAAGGCTAAAAATATAAATGGATGAATTAGAAAGCCCAGCTTTAAATTAAAGTTTTGACATAAACTCTTCAGAAACCTAGTTTAGAGGAAAAACAAAGAGCAGGACCCTGTAATTCCCAGGTGAAATTACAGAGAGGAGAAGAGTGTGTCTCTTCTGGTAGCATGGGAGGGACACTCCGTCCTAAGGAGAGTGTGAAGTCCAATGACAAGTGACACAAAAATCCCCAATTGCCCCTAAGTAGAAGGAGGGTGGCATTTGGGTTATAACACACTATGTCAGTACAGGGTGCAAAGAGGAGCCTACAGAGACACGAGAGTTTTTTAATAATAATTCTGAAAGAAGCAGTCAAAAGACTAAGATGCTTTTGGGCACAGGGATCATTTAAAGCCCCAGAAAGGGCTGGCCAAGCAGCAGGGCAGAGAGGGCACTGGGAAGCTGTTCTTCCAGAGTCAAGGTGTGGTAAGACACACCACACAAGGAAATCAGGATGCCAAGCTAAGTGCAGAGCCATGGAGAAGCACACGAGGGAAGATTTCTGTGAACAGCTTGTGAAAAACAGAGAGACTATTAATGCAAACATTTCCAGCTCCATCAGAAGGGAGAAGGCTGCCTGAGGCTCTGCAGATCCAGGGAATAACACAGGTCTGAGGGACGTTCAAGGGCTGTAAGTGCAGGGAGAGCAGAACAAACTGAATTTATTACAATAGTGATCAGCCTGGAAGCGCTCGGGGAGGTTCTCACCCTGCACAGGGCAGGGGCTACAGGATCCCTCATGAATCAGATCATCAGTTTGAGTGACTCTGAAATACAGTGGAGAGTAACAAATTGCCAGGGGTACAGCTCACCCCCTGGGCATCCTGCAGGGCTCAAGCACAGAGCTGATAAATCCTGAACGTGGCCTGCAATCTCTTATCCATGCCCAGAGCCAGAAGGAAGAGCTGGGGGCAATATCAGCTGGAAATAGCTGAAGCCACAGAATGATGAGCCTGACTTTCCAGCCAAGCAAATTGTTAAGAATTCAAATGGAGGGGCTGACTTGTAGGCACATGGCTGAATGTGAAAACCAGGGGAGGAGGCACCCCAGCTTCTGTAGGGAGAGATAATGCCTGGCACATCTTTTAGGGGAAGGAAGCTCTCAAAGGATAAAAGGGAAGGTGCTCTCATAGGTAAATAACTGGCTAGAAAATAGGAGACAAAGTGTGGACCAGACTTAATGGAGGGAAATTACTCAGAGAAGGAGCAAAGTGGAGTTCTCCAAATGTCTGCACCTTCCAGCGAGCTCATAAATATCCTGGACAAGGAGAGGAGATAGCAAAGTGTGTAACAGATAAAATCCATCAGGATGTCAGCGTTAAAGCTGGATACAGAGTGTTACAGAGGGATCTCCTGCTGCTGAGCTGTGGGGGGCAGAGTGGTGGGGGAAATCCCATGGAAGTAGCACAAAACACCACACAAGCAGAGCCACTTCCGAGTAAAAATCAAATTATTATTAGGAGCTGGCTGGGCACTAATGTGAGAGAAGCAGAAAGTGCCTTTATGCAGCTGCATAAGCCTGTGGTGAGCTCAGAGCTCCTGCACACCTCTTCTCAAAAAGGGAAATAGCAGGGTTGGGAGAAGGGCAGAGGGGGATGGCAGTGATGGGGTTTTCTGAGAAAACAAAGAATAGTGAGACTTTCATGTGGGAAAAAGGTGATTAGCAGAGGATATGAAAGAGAGGATATGAAATCAGGAAAGCAGGGGAGAAGGCAGATAAGAGGGACTCACTGGTGCTTAGAACAAAGTAATTGGTAGCATCAAACGGGAAACAGAAGCTTTAAAACACCCAAAAGGCAACACATGGTGTGTAGTGAAACTGGTGCTGGTTGCCCAGAGGATGTAAGTGCCAGGAGTAAAATGGATTTGAGAGCCCAGATCAAGAGCTGGCAAATGCAGAGATGCAAATACACCCCCCGGCTCAGGAAGTCCCTAAACCAGGGTTTCCAGAAGCTGCTGGTGCTGCTGTGGGATGCAGCAGCCTCCAGGTGTGTGCTTACCTCGCCCAGCTGCCAGGTGAGGCTGAATCCCGATCCACAGCCCCTGGAGAAACTCCACTTGTGCAGGCAGTGCCGTGCGCTGGCGTGGCAGGGGATGACGCGGCAGATGATCCCAGAGAGGCTCGGATGATCTTGGAGTTTGTGCTGCTTCCTCGAGCACCTCCACCAGCCTGTCTTGGTGGGGTTTGCATAAAGATGCATCCCCGACTCCTCTCTTGCCTGGGAAACGACACCTGGGAGTTGTGCTAGTGGAGGATCAATCCTTGAGCAATGCTGGATGGATCCTTTTAAGGGAAGTCAGACAACTGGCAGGGAATTACAGCTAGATGGCTTCCTAAACCGCCCCAGCACGCCCGGATGGCATCCCAGAACAGCCAGATTACTCCCAGCACAGGCTGATGAAATCTCTTGATTTCTCTCCCTGGGAAACCTCACCTCCTGCAGCACTCTGGGCGTTCTCCCCCTCCCTCTCCTGCTCATCCTCTCAGCCATTCCCTTTCATGTCACGTCTTTGATCTTTACCAGGGAGAGGGAAAGGGATTAGAGGCAGAAGACCACCCTCAAAACCCCTGTGGTGTCACCAAGATGTGCTCCTCCAGGTCACTGCCTTGGATGGGTCTCCATGGCCAGTCCAGCAGCCAAGGTTCTCCCACCTCTCCTTTCTTTTTTAGCCTTCCTTTCTGTCTGTGTAACAGGGGACACTTACACAGGCACAGCTTTCAGAAAATACTAGAGTAATGCTATTGGAGGCTGAAGGCATCTGATCACAGAGGGATTGAAGCTGGGAAGCTGCTGGAAGTGGCTTATTCCATGTACTGGTGACTCAAATCACAGATGTCTGATACCCTCAAACTCTGTCTTCAGGTACTTTGGCCATGCCTGCACACTTATGTTCATGTAAAACACCATGTACATTAATTTTCCCATGTCAATTAGCTACATTTTTCCAAGCAGAATCTTACTTGTTTGTTTTCTTCCCCTATATTTATTTTTCAAGGCTCTGCTCCTACAACTGCTGATGTATAACCATCCAGGGTTTGCTGTGACTGTTGTGAAAAGTTGTTTTGAGTTGCTCTCTAGGAACCTCTAGATGGGCATTTGTTTCCTTTGGATCTCAGGAACACTCAGGAAAAGGGAAGTGGGAAAAATAGTGCCTGTGTGCCTTTACTGGGCTATTCTGACCCTGTGTGAGAGCTCTGGGCAGGCTCAGACATTTGGTGTGGGTGACAAAAGGCAGTTGGAGAGAACACACTTGGAGAGAAAGGGGCTGGCTGGAGCAGTGACTCAGGGTGCACTTTTTAGGCAGCCCTTGAGTTGAATGGTTCAAAATAAACTGCTGAGCATTTCCCTGTCAATAATTCACCAGGCAGAGGGGGCTGGTGAAGAGCCTGAGCTTGGTTGGGACTCAGAAGGAATTTGTGCAACCTCTTGAACGCTGTGAAACTTGTGCCATCCCTGTCTTGCATCACTCACTCTGCTTTTGTTGTCTGGAGTTTCTGGTGCACCCTGGAAGGTGCTGCCTGGCTCTGTGTGGTATGAATGAGTGTTATTTTATGTTCCTAATAATTTTTCAATCAGCTGTACAGATTTTTCTCAAAGAACAAACATCAGAAAGCCTCAAAGGCAAGCACCCAGTTAGTGATGGGAGTCCTGGGGAAGACTGTGCCCTTAGCCTGCCTCTTCTGAAAGAGTAGCTTGATGTCTCAACTTTACATTTTATTGTACTTTACCTTAGAGGAATAAACTGGTTGGGAGACGGCCAGAAAATTCCCTCTGAAAAACTGGGAGAAACTTCATAGAATCGTGGGCTATCCTGAGGTGGAAGGGACCCACAAGGATCATCGAGTCCAACTCCTGGCCTTGTTCAGAACACCCCAACAATCCCACCCTGTGCCTGAGAGCATTGTCCAAACACGCTGTCAGGCTTGGGGCCATAACCACTGCCCTGGGGAGCCTGTTCCAGTGGCTTAGTGGCTTTTTTAGTGGCTTTCCCTGCAGCATCTGTTCTCCGTATTTGCAGGGTCAAGGCCCCAGCAGCTGCAGAGCCCGGGAGTGTTCAGCCAGGTGTAGCTGACACTTTTCTTTCTCCTTTTCTTTGAGTGCAGGATCTGAAGAGGAGGTCCAGGATGTCCATGAACACTCAGTCTAATGAAACACTGGCCTGTTTGCTCCCTGGGAGCTGGAGTGGACACAGATGCTCGGCAGGAGGAGTTCACACCTCGCTCTCTGCACAGGACCGTGCGATGCCCAGCCCGGCCCCGCCAGACACAGACTGCAAACAGCAGTGGGGCACTTGTGGTCTCCTCACACGTCCCCACATTGCAACAGTCCCACAAACAGAGCTGTGCTCTCCAGGCCCCCTTCTCTGAAGGCACAGGCAGCCCGTGGTCACCCTGTGGCACCTCTGCGTGGGCTGGGCAGAGGCACCAGCGGGAGAGCTCAGCGAGGGAGTGCAAGCTGCTATTTTGGCATGTTCATGCCGCAGAAGGTTTTGCTAAACACTTCAAAAATAAACAAGCCTTCGAGACCAAAAGCTGCAGAAATGACTTTCTGTGGCCTGGTAGCTCCTGACTTCATTTCCTCACTTAGGTCAAAAGCCAGACTTCTCCAATTAAGTTTTCCATGCCTATTTCAGACACAGGAACAAGCTATTCTCCATCTCACCGCTCACAGGTCTGCCCTGCAAGGTGCTGCTTCTGACTCCAGTGGAAACCAACAGCTCTCACCACTTCTGATCCCTCCAGTGCCCCTCAGCTGACGCCGTCTTGGCCATTCCCTGCATTTGGCAGCAGCAGGAGAGGTGAAGACACAGGGACAACGTCAGCATTTCTGGGAAGGAGCTGGGTCAGACTCTTTCCATTGCAAAGAATCCACCCTCTCATCTGGCAATGTGAACAAGTCTCTCACTCACCCTCTAACTCCTCCACCTACCCTCAAACTAGGTGTCATGGCCAGCCCTGTTAAGAGCAATTCATTTTTTGAGCATATTTCAAACCTGAGGTGTCCCCATCACAGGAGTCATGGAAAATCCTCAAGTTCACGTGGTTCCTGCTGCTTCCTCTCTCACTGCCTCAAGACACAGCAAAAATTCCCAGCAGAAGCCTCCATAATAAATGCAGAGCAGGGCCCCATCCATTGCCCAGCCTTACCTTCATATTTCTGAGACACCTGAAATGATCCTCTGAAGGGATTTTTCAGAATACCCTTCTGTCTTTTCCAACATTTTGATGATGCAGGGAGAAAACTCGAGAAATCATCAGGCTCCAGTTTATTACTTTTCCCCCCCTCCCATCTGTGGAAGGTTTTGGGGTTTTCTTTGGATGCCACTAGTTCTTATTTCCTACGTCTCGTAATTTGCAGACCTTCAAGTAAAATAAAACCTGCCAAATTCAAAACATCTAGAACCCAAACAGCTTCCAAACAGCAGGGAATTCCTGTTGAGCTCATTGCCCTAAATGATCAGTCAGGTCAAAGAATCAGATTCCCATGTGAAGTGCACATTTATATGGCACTAAGTGCTTCCAAGCACAGGGAAACACTGCTGGATACAACACTGGAGCTGAAGGTAGCTCCTGACAGTTTGAAACCTGGGGTAGGAACAGGTTTCCCCATGTGCTCAGTGCTCAGCAACCCTCCTGTGTCTTCCTTTGAATCAGCAGCAGCTTCTCCAGCTCGAGAGAGAGCACACTGGTTATGCAGTCCCAGTTCAGGATAATTCTGCCTCTGCCTTCGTTTGGGATGAGGAAAGCTTTTATTGGGGTTTGCTGCCCTTAATCCTTGGAAAAAAGGCATCTTTCTCCCAGCTGCTCATCAGCCCCTGACAGTCAGTGATCAGCCAATAGCACTGTTTCATTATTCCCTTGCTATTCCCTTCCCTGTCTCCTGTGACTGAGCCCCTGCAGGACCTTTCAGTGTAGAGGAGAAACTAATTTCTTTCATCAAAGAACCCACCAGAATTACATTTAAACCTTTCCAGGCTCTTCTTGCAGGCAGAAGACACAAGCTCAGATGTTTTCTCCCTTACAGGGAAGTCAGTTTTCGACTAGAGGAAAATACCCAGGAGCAGATCCAGATTTGCCCTGTTTGGCTTCTTGTGGACTTTGTCCACGGCTTGTCTCAACCAGCTCCCCCACGTCCTTGACCATCCTGGAGGGCTCAGAGGACTTCACAGAGGGGAGGGCCATGAAGTCAGGGTGCTCCCACTGTTCTCTTTAGGAGTCAAGAAGGCTGAGAGCTTCCAGGGATGCATTTCACTGCTCAAAGGAACAAGTGGGCTCTTTTGCAGTCAAAAGTCCTCCTCTCTTTTCCCTCCTTATCCCTAACTAAACAGGGAATCTGCAGCAAGCCCCAAGCTTCTTGGGAGCACTAATGCACCCTCCACTCCCCACTGCAGTATTACCAGGGTGCCAGGGCAGTGCCTGCTTCCAAGTGTTTCCCTTTCCTGACCTTATGCTGCTGCTCCTTTTCATCTAGAAACGGCCCTGCTGGATGTTGTTCTGCTCTGTGGGCCTTGTTCAGCTGCAGGTCTGCCTTGGTGGGGGCCCAGGTGGGAGGAGAGGGGGGAACTCTCTGGGAAGGTGAGTTTTACGATCCTTTTCGGTAGGTGGATGACTGTCCTTGGCTGCCGGGAAGGGAAGAAGCAATATCTGAGAAAACAGGGAATGGCTCCTCGCAGTTCCTGTACCTCTGGCTTCTGGGTGATGCTTTTGAGTGCTCAGTATGCGTGGGCTCCATCATGGAATTTCTCCAGCATCCCGGCAGTGAAGCAGAGCTCATTTTCCTTCATTGCATCCAAGGCTGAAAACTGATGGAAACCAGAGCATCCCAAGGTCCCTCTGTCCCAACCGAAGGCCCAGCCCTTCCCCAGGGACCCCCTTTTTCCCAGGAGCTCCCACCCCCTGAGCTGGGATCCACAACTGGGCTGGCTGGAAATCCCCCCTCCTACACAGATCCTTCAGATCCTTCGGAAATGTGAATATCAGTTTGTTTTGTTGTTGTTGCTTCTTGTTTAGTTTGGGTTTTTTTGCTGAGTCTGTCCTGGCTCTCGGGGCTTGGGAATAAATTATGACCCAGGAAAAAAAAAAAAACAAAACAAAACCAAAAACAAAACCCCAAAAAAAACCCACCACAAAAACAATCAAAAAAAAAAAATAGGAAAATACGTTTTATATATATGCCAAACTGTGTATTTATGTCCGATCTACACGGAGACGTGTGAATATGCTGATGTGCTCAGAAATATATTTATTTACTAATATATTTATCCAGGTACCAGTGTGCTGCCTGCGTTTGTTCTTTGGGGCTGTTCTGGCCTCGGGGCGCCCGCGGATCGGGATTGGGATTGGGATCGGGATGGGGATCAGGGCTGGGATTGGGATTGGGACCAGGACAGGGATTGGGACTGGGATTGGACCAGGATCGGGGTCAGGGCTGGGATTGGGATCAGGACTGAAATTGGAAATGGGACCGGGATCG